TTGGGCAGGATGACCAGTCGACTTTCGGGATTCCTGTGTGAACACCGATAAACGCTCCCCCTGGCTGTTATGGAGCGAGTGCTCCCCCTGTTTGGTAGTTCTTATGTCCCGAACGTCGTTCGCCTAGATGGTCGGGAAGTGGAATGGGCAGCGCTACCATCTTATCCAGGGTTCACGGAGATGCAAGGCCGAAAACAGTTCCAGGCGTTCAACTACCAAGTACCGCTGCCTGCGTTCAGGAGACAAAATGGCTGCCATGCACTGGACCACGTGCGTTCACCCAGGGAAAGCACTCAAACAAAGGTGTCAAGTCGTTAATTTGTGGTTAAAAGGTCGGTGTTCACTGGAGCATAACAAGAGACCACACACCCATCATTCGGGAAACAAACAAGGCGGTACGGACAACCGAACGTAGGGGAATGGAGTCTGCTACAATGCTCCCCCATAACCACAAGCCAGTATACACAGTCTGATCCTGACCGATCGGCTTGGGGATGTCCGGGGGTATTCACAGACCACTTTTCAAGCTCTGTTTGTCTGGACAACCCGTCAGCATTTCCATTTTATTTCCTGGGGCAGTAGTGGATCATGAAGTCAAAATTCTGCTGCGCCAAACTCTAGTGCAGCAGCCTGGCATTGTCCCCTGCTACCTGGTTCAGCCATACCAACGGGTTGTGATCTGTGAGCAAGGAGAATGGTTGTCCGTACAAATAGGGCTGTAACTTTTTCAGGGCCCACACCACGGCCAGGCATTCCTTCTCGATGGCAGCGTAGCTTTCTTCTCAGGGTAACTGCTTGCGACTGATGTAAGCCACAGGATGTTCTCCACCATCGGGCCCAACTTGGCTCCGTTCTGCCCCCAATCCAAACATAGAAGCGTCTGTATGCTCGAGAAACCGTTTAGTTGTATTGGGAGCTGCATAGATAGAGGCATTCATAAGGGCCTGTTTCAACTGCTGGAATGCCTGCCCAGACTCTGAGGCCCAGACTACTTGGCGGGGAAGGATTTCATTGGTAAGATCCATAAGGGGCTTGGCCAGGGCACTGTAATTGGGCACAAACTTCCTATAGTATCATGCTGTCCCTAGGAGTGTTCATCCTGGGGTGGGCCACTGCCTCAATCTTAGTGGGATCTGGCTTCTACTGCTTGTGCAGCCCACTCTGTGACCGAGGTACTGTACCTCTGCCATGCCTATGTTACATTTGCTGGGCTTAAGCGTTAAGCTAGCTTCCCTGATCCTATATGGGTCAAGTGCTCCTGCCAGGTATTGCTGAAGATCTCCTTTCTTCCAGCCTAAATGTGTGACCTTGTGTCCTATGTATAGCCCTGTTTATGAATAGATTTCCAGATAAAGGTTTGTACTGGCCCCGAATATATTTGTATAAAGTTATCATATCCCCTCTCAGGCGCCGTTTTTCCAAACTAAACAGATTAAATTTTTTTAACCTTTCTCCATAATTAAAATGCTCCATTCCTTTTATCAATTTTGTAGCTCGTCTCTGCACTTTTTCTAGTGCCATGATATCCTTCTTTAGAACAGGCGCCCAAAATTGCACAGCATATTCAAGGTGTGGTCTTACCAGCTATTTTTAAAGAGGCAAAATTATATTTTCATCCCGAGAATTTATGCCCCTATTTATACATGACAAAACCTTACTGGCCTTACCAACTGCAGATTGACATTGCATATTGCTGCCTAATTTGTTATCTATAACAATTCCCAAATCCTTCTCGAGTGTGGTTATCCCTAATTCACTACCATTTAGTGTGTAAGTTGCTTGTGCATTATTAACCCCGAAGTGCATAACTTTGCATTTCTCTATGTTAAATTTCATCTGCCATTTTAGTGTCCAGTCCCCCCAATCTTTCCAAATCCCTCTGCAGCAAAGCGAAAGCTCACATTTTATTAATTTACAAGTTTTGTGTCATCTGCAAACACTGTTACATGGCTTTCAATGCCTATTTCAAGTTCATTTATATATATGTTAAATAGAAGTAGTCCCAAAACAGAACCCTGAGGGACACCACTTACCACTTTTGTCCA